AAAGGATGCCTCAAGAAAAATAGCTGCTTTTTTTCGGCACCTCTGTCCATTTGTGTATTGACATGCTCGTAAGAACTTTTGTATAGTATGAAGCCCCAATTTGGGGACCATTATTTTAAAAAAGTTAAAAAATACTGGTATAAACATTTTACTTTCTTGGCTGTTATATATTGATATATAACAGAAGAAAAGTATGGCAATCGGTCAAAAAAGTTTTTTACACTTTTGGACTAGGGACTTTGAAACGTCGAGAAATGAAATATATATATACACAAACATCTATACAGAAATATAGACAATATACGAAGAATAGATAATATAAGGGGAAATACACAAACATCTATACAGAAAAAATCCCCGAATATATATATATACGGGGATTTTTTCTGTATAGATGTTTGTGTATGTATGGGGGCACAATTTTGTTCACTGTTTGAAGCTTAATAACTTGTGCTTTTTTGTAGAAAATTTCTGAAATTTTGCAGGGAGTTTGTGTATGTTAGTGGACTGATGCTATTAAATTTTGGTGATTAAAGGCCGATGAGGGGGTATGTGTCATATCTAAAGTGGGTTCGGAATTAATGATTTTACTCGTTATTAGCGTTTACAATTTTTTATAAAACCCATTCTTACCCTCAAAGTTAAGCTTTTTGCTATTTTATAATAGTTAAAATATAAAGTTTTTAATAATAAAATTTGCTGGATTTTTCAGAAAAAAATACTCGTGAATTCTAAACATGTCTGATTACACTAATTTTAAAATTAACCTAAAGCTTTATCTTAAAAAAAAATTCACTATAGTGAATTTTTTTTTAAGATAAAGCTTTAGGTTAATTTTAAAATTAGTGTAATCAGACATGTTTAGAATTCACGAGTATTTTTTTCTGAAAAATCCAGCAAATTTTATTATTAAAAACTTTATATTTTAACTATTATAAAATAGCAAAAAGCTTAACTTTGAGGGTAAGAATGGGTTTTATAAAAAATTGTAAACGCTAATAACGAGTAAAATCATTAATTCCGAACCCACTTTAGATATGACACATACCCCCCTCATCGGCCTTTAATCACCAAAATTTAATAGCATCAGACCACTAACATACACAAACTCCCTGCAAAATTTCAGAAATTTTCTACAAAAAAGCACAAGTTATTAAGCTTCAAACAGTGAACAAAATTGTGCCCCCATACATACACAAACATCTATACAGAAAAAATCCCCGTATATATATATATTCGGGGATTTTTTCTGTATAGATGTTTGTGTATTTTCCCTTATATTATCTATTCTTCGTATATTGTCTATATTTCTGTATAGATGTTTGTGTATATATATATTTCATTTCTCGACGTTTCAAAGTCCCTAGTCCAAAAGTGTAAAAAACTTTTTTGACCGATTGCCATACTTTTCTTCTGTTATATATCAATATATAACAGCCAAGAAAGTAAAATGTTTATACCAGTATTTTTTAACTTTTTTAAAATAATGGTCCCCAAATTGGGGCTTCATACTATACAAAAGTTCTTACGAGCATGTCAATACACAAATGGACAGAGGTGCCGAAAAAAAGCAGCTATTTTTCTTGAGGCATCCTTTCTTCTTTATCCATGTAGAGATACTGCGTACTGTCATACTTTTATTACGATAATACGTATTATGGCGCTGCTCAACACTATTTCGCGACACCCCTAGAATCCAGGCTGATTTACGCGCCATTTTTAGGCCGATACTCAGCGCTTGGCATATTGAAAGTGCAATGTGCAACTGTTAAAAATACACAGCTATTACTTTCATTGCGGTATCACAGTTATTTTCAAAATTTATCATGATATGAAAGTTAATAAATTTTAGCATGTTAGTTTTCTGAAGATATTGATATTAGAATAACCAACCTGTAAACAGTAGTTTTTTTTATATTTGATGAAAAAAGACATTTCACATTTTTGCCAAGTAGAAGTTTATGAAGTCATTCTTTGTTATAAATAACAACATAAGTAGTTCACGATTATTTAAACATTGATGTGTTGAGATAATGATAAATATAAAAATGCAGTATAATCGAAATAATTACCTCAATTATAATCACACTATGATTTCATTAAATTTTCTTTCTTATTTCATAAAAAATGCTAATAGTAATTACTTAAACTGGGTAATTTGAAGTTTAGACTATGTACAAAAAGTCAAAAAACTTTTGAGTCCTTCTTTATCCTTTATACACCACCATAGAAGTAACAGCTTAAAAAAAAAAATGCTTTGAAGAACTCTTCTTAAACACTGATAAAAATTGGTAAAAAAAATTCCACAAGGTTAAAAAAGATCAAGTGTCAGCCTTTCATTGTAGGTTTCTGACACTTTTACAATTAAAAACACAGAAATTCTTCACACCATTCTTCTTCTTCTTCTTCGATGGTGTTTATATGGAGATTTTAGCTCAATGTAGGCTCTTTCTCCGAGTAGACTTGTGTATGTGTATGATCGCTAGGCGACCGATTAGCCGGCTGTATCGAACAGCCATACGTACGCGCGGGAAATAAATGCCTTCCGGGAGGACTTTTATGGGGAACTGGCCTCCTATTCAGTCGTTATAGGCAAGGAGAAAACCCGGAAAACTCCAAGCAGCCAGCCTGTCCGACCGTGGCGCGAACCCACGACGAACCTCCCAGTCTTTAGGGTCTGGTCACCACTACGATGAGCGNTTTTAATTGTAAAAGTGTCAGAAACCTACAATGAAAGGCTGACACTTGATCTTTTTTAACCTTGTGGAATTTTTTACCAATTTTTATCAGTGTTTAAGAAGAGTTCTTCAAAGCATTTTTTTAAGCTGTTACTTCTATGGTGGTGTATAAAGGATAAAGAAGGACTCAAAAGTTTTTTGACTTTTTGTACATAGTCTAAACTTCAAATTACGAAGAAAATAAATCCTGAGTTATCACAAAAATTGTAACTATATGCAAATAATGTTAGATACTCATAACTACCACTAGAGGGCTAGAAGCAGTTTAAAAAGCTGGATGGAAATGATGGTGTGAAGAATTTCTGTGTTTTTAATTGTAAAAGTGTCAGAAACCTACAATGAAAGGCTGACACTTGATCTTTTTTAACCTTGTGGAATTTTTTACCAATTTTTATCAGTGTTTAAGAAGAGTTCTTCAAAGCTTTTTTTTAAGCTGTTACTTCTATGGTGGTGTATAAAGGATAAAGAAGGACTCAAAAGTTTTTTGACTTTTTGTACATAGTCTAAACTTCAAATTACGAAGAAAATAAATCCTGAGTTATCACAAAAATTGTACTTAAACTGGGTTCAATTTATGTAAGAACGTATTTTTTAAGTTTAAGGACTGTCATAAAATATTTATAAAGTAAAATCATTAAATACTAATAAGCCAACTATTTCGAATGATTTGTGCAACTGCAGAACCACCATTCATTTCGCCTTAAGATTCAACAATAAAATTACAGCAAACACATGGCAACAGACTGCAGTACATTGATCTGGCCTAAAAATAACGCGCAAATCGGTCCGGGTTTAAGGAGCCTTACCCATGTTGAAAACCACTGGTTTAGACAACTTTGAAAAGTGTGAATGTTAAAAATAACGAATTTCAGTTATTCTGAATAAAAACTTGATTTTATTCAAAAGGAAAATAATTTTCTATATATAATTATTTTCCTTTTCTTTTTGCAAGTTAATATTAAGGTTGAAACAATTTAGATTACAAGAATTAATTTTCTATAAAATGATGTTTGCTCTTATATCGTCACTTTGATGTCGGATTGAATTCAAAGTTAATCGCATGATCTTAAATTAGCTAGCTGCATTTTTCATCTTAGAACAATTTTTTTATATACTGTTATAAATTTATCAATTCAACTCATACTCCATTAGGCCATATATTAAAATAATAATAATAAAACCAATAAATTATATTATTGTGTAACACAACGAAAATGCGAATTTAAAATCAAAGAATTATATCTTTAGTAGTCTCATTTTTTTTACAAATAATTAACTATTCAAATTCAGATATTCAGGAAATGCAGCCAGAGAATTCGTAATCATTTTGTATTTCTGTTAATAAGCATTTTAAGGATTACATTGACATTTACTTGACAATCTTTAATAACATCCTCAAAATGCTTAATTTCATTTGCAATTAATTATACATCATCCTTGTTATTAAAAGAAGAAATGTCATCTACTATTTAGGAGTACACCGCTACTGTAATACATGGAATATTTTTTCTTCTTGTTGAAAACAATTATGTACGATACGCAGCAATAAACAACAGATTGGCAACGTATCACCAAATAAATATACCTTTTCACACATTTGATGGATAGGCAGATAAACTAATTCATTACTTCTTACAACTATTTAATGTTTTACGTAAATAACAATTCCTTACAAGTTTGATCTTGATCATTTATCGTTCATTTATGAAAGAATTGTTATAGTTTACAGATCAACATCAATAAAAATATTTAAACATTAAAACTATTGAGAGAGACTGTTTCAATTTAATAAGTACAGGGAAATATAATGGTCTAAAAATTAATTACATATATTGATATTTTCAAAAATAAATTTTATAGCAATTTTCATAATTGCTTCTGTAAATTACAAGTTCAAAAATAAATATTTTGTAAACTAAGATTTTTTTCTAAGTTTATGATTTAGTAACTATTGTCAAATACTAGATTGATTTGCTTAGATATACATTTTGTTACAATACAATTGATACTGATATTAATTCTTACACAATTCAATACAGTAGAGCGTCGTTTATCCGAAAGAATTCCAGTCGGCCTAAAACATAATTTTTATTTGTTTTTATATTTTTCAATGTACTGTATTTATTTCGTTTGTAAAACATAAAAAGAAATCATTTTTAACGATACAATATCCACGATTATTTTAAAAAGTTTACCTTAGGCTTAACATCGACGAAAATTCAACGCGAAGCGACACGCAACGGATAAAAATTTCAACACGGGATAGGTTAATATATTTTTCGTACATAATCGGTTATCCGAACAACCCCAGTCCCCAATTGATTCGGATAAACGACGCTCTACTGTATTTAAATCTGAAAATAGTTTGTTTATTCAACAAACAAAACTGATCACAGTCGAAAGTATAGAAAATTATACATTTTTACTTTTTCTTTTCTATTTCTGCTCTTTGTTGTAATATACTATTACGAATTTTTACAACCTGCAAATATGGAACGGGATCTGTTGTAGCTTGCTGTTCTAAGAATTCAAGCAGTTTTGTTGCATGATAAATTGCATCAGTTAAATTGTCCGATAAACTATTTTGTTCTGGAAAATTTTTTGTATTTCCCTGGTCTGGTGATTCTTTCAATATTTCGCTAAAATTCTCGTCTTTACAATTAACAAATAATTCATTTTTAACAGGTATATTTTGTATTTCTTCACTGCAACTATTAGGATCTTCAATATCTTCAAAAACTTCTAATTTCACTACTGGATTTAGTTCAGACGTTTCTGAAAATTCTTCACTGTTATCACTATTATTCCAAAATTTTTCACACAAATTCAATGAATCTTTCTGCATTTGTTCCCATGATTCTGATGATTCTTGACAATACGATAAAGTTCTTGAAATTAAGCACTTCAAAAATGTTCCTCTTTCATCACCTGTATAAGATTGTTGTGAATTTGTCTTCTCTTCCATTATCTTTCTAAATTCTTCTCTGTACATCTCTTGCAAAGATTTATCAATAGTTAACCCACCTTCAGATGTTTGCCTAATTCCATGACGAGATTTAAAACGTTTCAACCAACCAGTACTAGCAGAAAACGGTTTATCAATATTCATTGTTCTGTACATTTGCATGGCTTTTTCAGTTATTAAAGGTCCCGATACAGGAAGTCCCTCTGCTTTTCTTTGTGTGAACCACTGATAGACTGCTTCATCTAAATCACTTAACTGAGATTTTTTCATTGTCCTACGACGAGAAGGACCAGCCATACTATCTGATTCTGCAGCAAAATGTAATATTTTATCAGCATCTCGTTTTAAATCATATACAGTTGATTTCCCTATCTTAAATTCTTCCATGATTTTTTTCATATTTTCTCCACGGCGTAATCTCATAATGATGTTTGCTTTTTGCTCAATTGTTAGAACAATTCGTTTTCGTTTATCCATATTCATTTGAAAGGTTAATCCATTTATATATAAAATGGATCAATGTTCTTTTTTTAAATATATTTTGTACACAACATTTTTACATGAAGTTTTCTTTAATGAAATCCTATAAAAGAAAAATTTAATTAATTTCAATAAACATCTTTGTATTATGCAATAAATGAAACACAAACTTCTCGAGTGTATTTATCAAAAATAATATTAACAAATTGAGGAATCAGTTAAAATTATTTAACATAGTTGTAGGTTCACTCTTCTCTATGCCTCCTGAGTTTGGGTTTCAGGCAGAGATTTTGGATGTATTATCTACCTTCAGTAAGAGGTTATATGGGCTCCCAACATGTAACCCTGGATATTTAGTGTGTATGGAGTGTTTGTTGGTTCCATTTGTCTTGCATGATCTTGAACAAATTTATTAATTGGGTTTTTAGAACATTAAGCTTGGGAGAAGATCACCTTAGCAAGATTTGTTTGCAGTTTGTTTTGAAATAGGTAGAGTTCCCTAGGACTAAGTACAGTCGAGCCCTCTATAATACTGTTGTACGAGTCACTTAGATTTTACAAATAGGTGTGCCGGGCTGTGAACGGCTCACGTATTTGTAAAATCTAAGTAACTCGTAAACATAAAATTCATATAAATGGAATTATCAACAGTGTTATAGGGGAGTCGACTGTATCTGTATATGAACTGTACAGGTAATGGTTTTAATTTTGAAAATTTGTTTAAAAATGTAAATGGAGTTTGTTTATTAAACTTAAATTATTTTGATAATTATATTTTGAAGCTGAATAATGGAATATGATCAAGTACCTATTACTGGTGGCATAAAAATTTGAACAAATCTTTTTGACTGCTTTGTTTATAATAATAACCTTTCTTGTAATGCTATTGCAGTATTAATGCAAGTTAGATGTAAATCATTGAGCTTTTTTTTTAAATGTAATTACAGAAGTGGTACAGTTGATTCATTATTGGATGCATAACATGTGACAGCAGTTTGCTCTTTTTTTCTCAAAATTACATGAGGAGACTTTTGGTGTTACAGAAGTTCCTTTTTGTTTAATAAATTTGTGAAAGTAACTTGGGATTCTAATTCTTTTTTTAAGGTATTTATTTTTATTAAAAAGACTAAATCATATATCTTACGATGTTGGTTTTGTGGTAATGTGGTTTATTTTTCTTTTAGGTTCATAATGTAAAGTGGTTGATGATTTTATGTTAATTGCATCTTGGGATGTGGTTTGCAGGTTATTTAACCAATGGTTACCTTTGATTATTTGGGAGACTATTTGATTTGTGGATAAGAAGCTATACTCTGATTCTTTCTTTTTTTCTTTCTAGGTAAGATTTTTTTTACTAGTTTTTCTTTGGATAGTTCTCCCACTTTTAGGTTTAAGTTTGAATTTACCTTTGTATTTTATTTTTATTTATAAGTTACGTGTATTTTTATGCTTTGTGTTAAGATATGTTGTGTAATTTTGTATATTTCTCCTCACATCATGGCTGTACCAGTATGCTTAAAATAAAAAATAAATATTAACAGAATAAATTACTGTATTTATATTATTTTTATAATCATGAACATTTACTTTCAATATAAATAGATATCCATGTTACAATATTTTTTGTTGTTTAAAACAGTTTACAATTGAGCTGCAATTTGAAAAAATTATAGACCTGTAAATTCTCACAGTCGTCACCCGTCTGTCCTTCCTTAATCTTGAGAATGGAGTTAGATAGATGAAAGATAAAACCAGAAACCTTAGGGGCAGGAGGCTCCAATTAATTATATACAAACTTCCAATGCAAACTGGAAGTCATATTATTTCAATTCAAAAATTTCCCCTGAAAGGTGTTAGATAGATGACTGATATGACTCTTATGAGGGAAAATATGACGTACAAGGGCAAACCAATACTAATTTGAGGTGGAGAACATATATTTTAAGTTAAATAAATTAAAAATATGATTAAAAATTGCAGCCTGGCATTGTGATAATGTCATAATAAATAATTACTTGTTTCATTTAATTTTATATAGAATAAGTTATTCATGTATGATTTTCTGGATCATACATGAATTACTGAAGAATACAAAAATTAAAACCAATAGATTGATAGATTGAACACACTTATTAGATATCTATTATTAATTTTGTGATATTGTTTAAATTTTCTTTTAATTACATTTAAATTAAAATTTTATCATATTCACACAAAACTGTTTTATTCTACTACAAACTATAAATTCCCAAACATTTTTGGTTAAGAAAAGATTGAATATTCACATAATATATATATATATATATATATATATATATATAAATCCCCAAAAAAGAAGTCTCATGAGATAAACTAAAATTTCTAGAGGAAACTCAACAGTAATAATCACAATTGTCAACTTCAATATACAGTCCCTGGCCAAATTATTAGACGCACTACAGACTTTTCATAATTACATGTTTTATACCCGGTCTGGTGTAGATCTATCTTATGAATCATAATTTTGATAAACGAAACTTATTTTTTAATGTCATTGTATATCTATTTTTGTTATATTTCATAACAATATTAATTTATTGGAAGGTATCAGAGCTTAGACACTAAAGTGCAGTGTACAACTACGAATGTGTTTCAGTCGCGTTCTCAATTGCTACTGGTGTGGAAGTGTTTCTATTCACCTCTTGTATTTATTTCATGGTATATAGGCTAATTATGCAAGTGTTTGTTTTCTTCAATAGTAGTATTTTTACCAACCAGATATGATCAATTGTTATCTTTTGACATGGGCAAAAAGGAGGACCTTTCACCACGTAAAAAAGCCCTCATTAATACAAAAATGCATTCCAACCGTGAAATTTCACGAAGATTGAAGGTGTCTGAAGCTAGCATACTACTTATAAAAAAACAAGTTGAATCAGATCAAGATCTGAATCCAAAAAGAAAAAATAAATGCGGCAGAAAGGCAATTTTCACCTCAAGGTCAGAAAGACGTCTTAAGAAAATTTGCTTAGAAAACAGATTTGCTTCCACTAAATCAATAAAATCTCAATTGGAAGATGCAAACGTGAATGCTTCTGAGCGCATGATCGCAGAAAATTGAAAGCTCTGGATTTTAAGGCTTACCGACTAGAAAGAAAACCCAAGTTAACAGTTGCAATGAAAGCAAAGCATTTGGAGTGGGCCAAACAGTGGTGTGATAAGGACGTAGACTTCTGGAGATTGGTAATTTAACATTATACAGATTATTTACTATAAAATAGACAAATTAATAGTAGGTACTTGATTCATAAGATATTGTTTTCTTGTTTTCTCAGGTCTGAATTAGAGATGAAAGCACATTTGAAATTTTAGCCAACAAAGCTCATTTTGTCTGTCATCGTAGAGGCAAAAAATTTCATTCTGACTGTGTCATTCAGACTGTTAAGCATCGCATGAAAGTAGTGATTTGGTCCATCATTAGTGGCAAGGGCACTGGGCGCCTGTACATAGTAAAAGGCACCATGAGGCAAGACCAATATAAAGAAGTCTTGCAAAATTGGTTGCTGCCACAGGTTTTTATGCAAGATGGAGCTCCCTGCCACACAGCCAGGTCTGTGAAAACATATCTACAAGAGCAAAATATCTCTCTGTTGGATTAGCCAGGTAATAGTCCCGACATGAACCCCATAGAAAATGTGTGTGAGCTCAATGAAGAGGGAAGTGGACAAAGAGGTCATAACAACCAAAATGTAGCTTTTGGAAAAAATCATCCACAAATGCAGGAGATGGTCCAGTCTTGCATCGACAGCATGCGGCACCAGATTGAGGCTCTCGTAGCTGCAAAAGGTGGCGCAACAAAATACTAAAATTTACATGGCAATTTTGTATTTTTTTACTATGTTAATAAAAACAAAAATTTTCAATAAATATAACATTTTATTTGTGTTAACACCTATGTAATAAAGTAACCTGTACATTACAGGTTAAATTCATTAGTAATAAATATTCAAAGACCAAATTGTACTAGCTGATAATTAAGATTTGCACAAAAACTATAGTGCATCTAATAATTTGGCCAGGGACTGTAAGTGAATAGCCAGTTTGCATACTAACATTTTAAACACAAAAAAATATAGAGCAGAGGTGGGCAACCTTTTTAAATGTGCAAGCCAAAATTTCCAAATGTATGAAGCAAAATTTTTTCATATGCCAACTGGAATTTTTGAGAGCATATTATTATTATTTGGTCTAGCAGCTAGAATGATAGATCAATGGTTCCCAAACTTATTGTCCATGGCTCCCATCTCATAGCAAAAAACCCCCCAGTGAAATAACTCTACACAACTACATAATAGCAAAATTACAAATTTAACTTTGATATCTTGAATGGTGATGTAAAAATAAAATATAAATAAAACATTTTTATATTTAAAGTAATATTTATTGAAATTACTAGCTAAAGCTTGCCCATTTTTGAAAAACAGGTATAATATAGTGAAAATGACAAAAAACAAATACAGTGAAAACTGCTTAGGCGACCACCTGCATTCGACGGGCACCTGCCAAAACGGGCAAAAATTTCTGGCACGGAATAGTTTATCCATAGAGTCTTCGAATAAGTTACCTGTATTAAACGACCACCTGTGTAACGCGACCGCGGGCATCGATTTTTGGTCCGAAACAACATACAACACCTGCAATAAGCGACCACTTTCGCGAATATATCTGGTCTAAACTATTGTAAGAACCCATCTCAACAACGTTTCCACCTCCTAATATAATGAATTAGTCTAAACTCTCGTTCGAACCCATCCCGGGCACTTCTCCCACCCTTGAAATTAGGTGCAGGTGTTAATAAATTAGTCTAGCAACAAAGGAAATTCATTTCAGTTTGTTGGAAAATGTCCGAAATGCAAAGTGCTGTCGTTAGAAGATCGTATTAAAGTTATCACAACAGCAATTAGCGGCGAAGTTTAACTGTGGGAAAACAAAATTTATTTTACCCTAGACCTACAGTATTTTCCTTGGGGGTGTAAAATATTGTACACGATACAATTAATCGGCTGATCTCATCGTTTGATAAAATCTATTTTTATTTATTTATTTTGAAGCTCATATACAGTA